CAGCAGAGCTCGGGGAAGAGGCAAAGGAGATGGTCTGCAAGGCCGCCTAGACAGAGGGTTTCGACTCAGAAGTTTTCAGGAGCAGGCAGAGCAGGTGCAAAAGGCCTGAGAGGCCACAGGAAATGGTGCAGACAGAGGAGCTGGAGAGAGGGAGCAACCCGCCTAAAGGACAAGGATTCCTTCAACCCAGTGTGTTACAGAAGGGCTAGCCCAGACTGTAGACCTGGCAGGGCCGTGTAGGCAGGGATTTGGAGCATCTGAGCAGTGTTTGGGTAGACCAATGAGTAAGAACCAGAATCAGAAGCACACTCCGCCTGCCACCTGAAACTGGGGCATGATTCAGGGTGGCGGGTGGTGAGAGAGTCCAGGAAGGAGGCAGGTTATGTTTTGTTTTCCCTTCCCCCATTAATCTGAAAGAAAGGGACTCAGAACCGGAAATTAAACAGCTTCTTGTATCCTTGAGTCTGTGGACTAAGATTTATACTCATGCCATATGTTCGGGAAATGCTAATTTTGTAAAGTTAAATGCACTTCCTTATTGCAGGACTTCTCAGAAATTTTAATATGCTAAAATATTACATCTGGAGCTCAGAGAAAGTAATTCAGTAGGGCACTTGTGTGCTGGTAAATGATCAATAACAGACTCAAAGATCAAATCAGGGATTAAAAACCCTGATTTGTAGTGTTTGCCAATTTCCATGGTGTAAACACTGTGCAGGGCCATTCTGGCTCCATCCCCTGGAAGATGAGGTCTTTTGTCATACTTCTACGACTCCCTGACCCCAAGCCTTCTGCCTTTATTCTCCACGGAGGGGTGGCAATCTACGAAGCTCTCCAAAATAAACTTCTTGCATGTACATCTCTGCCTTGGAGATATTTCCTATGTAAACTGACCTAAGACTTGTCCATTTATACATGTACCACCAGTTATAGTTAAAATAACCAGTTTCCTGATTCATTATAGTATTTCTGCATAGTTGGATTCTTTTAAGTGATTATACCTATGCCAAGATCTATGATCTATGAGGCCTAACATAAAGAATGAGTAAAAGACAGGGTCCCCATGATAGTGAACCTCCAGGGTGGCTACACATGATTCTTGCCTTGTAGAGGGCGAGTCTATGCGACCAACAGGAAATTTGGGAACAAGTGTCTGACTTCCAAGGCTAGGTCATAAAAGACACTGTGGCTTTCACCTGGCCCTTTCTTGGATCACTCACTCTGGAGGAAGCCAGTTGCCATGTCATGAAGATTCTTGAGTAGGTCTATGGAGAAGTATACTTGGTGAGAAAGTGTGGAGTATCAATTTGTCAGCCATGAGAGTGCATCATCTGAGAAGCAGATCTTCCAGCTCTACTCAAGATTTTATTTAGATGACTACAGCCCAGCTAAGATACTCCCAAATTTCCGACCTGTAGAAATTGCTAGATAATAAATGTTTATTGTTATTAAGCTGCTAAATTTGGGGATGATTTGTTATGTAGAAATTTATAACTAACAGAGTACCTAATCTATAGGAGTTTTACAACTTAGCAGGAGAGCAAAGATGGATATAGCTATATATAAATAGGTGAAACAAGCTAGTATATGTTTAATTAGATACTGATTGTTATAAGTTCCGAGAAATGCGGAAGAAGGAAGGAAGAGGTTGAAAAACAAGAAGCCCCATTTGGGAAGCTTTCGAGAGGTCAATTTTGAAAGAAAAGATCTGAAGAAAGGCAGGACCACGTTTTAGAATCTCTCCTTTTCTGGAGAAATAAAATTCCTGAGATTACCCAAATGTTCTTTGTAAAATGTTAGATTCACTTGAAAATCAGGAATGTATCTTTAGAACAATATAGAAGTCAACCTGCTTTTAGTAAAGTAATCCAGCCTTATAAAAAGTGCAAAAAACTTACCAATGCACATCAAAGTTGTTACAGTTTGCTATCTACCACCACTTATGTTGGGTGAGGAATACCAGAACATTTATTTATTGGGTTGGTTTAAGTTAAAGAATCAAGAAATTCAGTTCTTGGTGGGTTGGTTTCCACGCTGGAGAAATGGATATAAGCTGAAATGAAGGGAATGATTTCTATTTAGTTGAGAGGAATAAACAAACAAACAAAAGCCCTTCAATCAATGAGAGAAAATTAGTACCTCTTTCCAGCCTATTGTTTTTCATTTTGCTTTGCTTTTTTAGGAAGTTTAAAATCGTAGTGGGAGTCATGATGGTGTGGAATGCTCGCTGGGAAAGCATCCTGGTATCTTTCATTTTGCCCAATTCTCATTCAAGGCATCAGTTTCAAATGACATAAGAAGTTTGCTTAAATGGAATAGAAAATTAAAGCTCATCAATTAAGCAGCTAGAAGAAAAAGTACTATAAAGTAAATGAATATATAAAAAAGATATTCAACCTCATAATAATTAAACAAATGCAAACTAAACTACAGAGAGGTACAATTTTTAAAACCTTATTAGACTGCTAAAGACTAAAAAGTTTGATAATGCTCAGTAATCGAGAGTAAGGAGAGTCAAGCATCTCACAGGCAAGGGGTAGGAATGTAAACTGATACAATTCTAGAGAGCAATTTGACATCTAGCAAAATGTTAAATGTACAGACCCTTTGACACAGCGATTCCCTTCCCGGGGAGTTTATTCTAAATGTGAATGAATATCCATTGCAGCTCTGTTAGAAGTAATGGGAAAATTAGAAATAGCCATGCACATAGTAGAGGGCTGGCTAAATAAACAAACAAATAAATGGTAACAAACACATGGAGTGGTTGCTGATTTTGTGTCAACTAAGAGCTCTACGTATGTGAAGTCATGTGATCTGACAAGACCTGAGACTTGAATCTCTTCTTATGATGGTACAGCCATCCAAACACCATCCAGCTATCCAAAAGCACAGGGGTAGGTCCAAGACCTCTCATGGAATAGAAAGGATGAAAGGAAGTTTCAGAGCAGGCTACAGAGCAGTCTCGTTTATGATGAAAAATAATAGTGTATATATGTTTAAATTTGTGCAGAAAATGTCTAGAAAGATAAACCAGAAAGAAATAGTTAACAGTGGGATCCTCTGGAGAACTGGGACTGGTAAAGCCAGAGAACGGAGAAGAGCTTTCCATTTTTTTACTGAATACTTTCTTTACTTTAAAATTTTATCTCTATCATCTATCTATCTATCATCTATTTATCATCTATCATCTATCTATCTATCTATCTATCTATCTATCTATCTATCTATCTATCTATCATCTACCTATCATCTATCAATCATCTATCATTCTATCTATTTATCATCTATCTATCATCATGTACCTATCATCTATCTACAGTGCATGTGTATATACTTTTTGCTCGAAGCAGACAAACTGCAAAAGTTCAGGTCACAGTTCCCAAGACTAGCTTTACTTCTGACCCAAATTGTATGTTTGGGGAGATTCCCAAAACCACCCCCAGGTTTGATAAATTCACTAGAAGGGCTCATAGAATTGACAGATAGTTTTTATATTCATGGTCGCAGTTTATTACAGAGAAATGATACAGATTAAAGTCAACCAAAGGAAGAGATGCATGGGCAGAGTCTGGGAGGGTTTCAGATGTGAGGCTTCCAGTGTCCTCTCCTGTGGAGTTCAGATGCATCGTACCCCTGGCATCTATGTGTGACAATGCACATGGAGTACTGCCAACTGGGGAAGCTCATGTGAGCATCACTGTCTGATGTTTTTAATAGGGTTTCATGATGTAGGAATGATTCATTGATTGCCCATCTTCTTGAAGCCTGCAGGATGCCAGATACTACATGACCCAATGCCCTACCTTAAATTATACCTGGTCTTTATGAAGAGGCCACTGCCACCCTAAGATCCAGTGTGGCCATTCTGTGCCCTAAACCAGAGGTCCCCAACCTTTTTGGCACCAGGGACCAGTGCTCCTATGGGAATCTAATGCCTGAGGATCTGAGGAGGAGCTGAGGCGGTGATGCTAGTGCTGGGGAGCAGCTGAAAATATAGTTGAAGCTTCTCTGGCTCGCCCACCATGCACCACCTGCTGTGTGGCCCAGTTCCTAACAGGTGACAGACCGGCACTGGTCCATGGCCCAGGGGTTGGAGACCCCTGCCCTAAACAAAGATAACTATATCAGGTATGACATAGATTAATCCCAGAAGCTGAGGGTGAAGGCCAGACCTCTCTTTCCGCAAGGTCGAATTTTTACTTTTATAATTAAAACCTCAAAAAACTATGTGGTTAGCTTCCCATGTGCTCATTGATATGTAGTATAGTTTCTAAGTGTTTTTATATGAGGACTGATTTGCACTGAGACACTCTGATCACGTGGATTTTTGTTCTGTGTTTTCTTAGATTCTATACGTCTATTTGGCATCCATTAGTCATCGGGCCAAACTAAGAACCAAAGTTATTTACATCTCCCCTGTGAGCCAGCTTTTGTGGGTACATGAATATCATATTACAAACCCTACAACCAATTACCAGTCCATATTCCCAATCACCTCCTTTATCTAATTCTCACACACCAAGCCAATACGTCCCTGCTTAACTCACCTAGGACCAGGTAGTACACAGCTAAAGGCCACCTCTCTAGTCCAGAGCCTGCTGACATCATTCAAACTAGCCAGTCCTAGGCTGTTCCCCCTGCCTCGCCTCGTGTCTCCTGTGGGAAACAGTAACGGTTCTGAGCCTTGCTTTCCCCTCACTGCCTCTGCCTGCTGACCAAAAACTGATGCTTCCCCATGTGGCCCTGTGCGGTGTGGCATGCTCCCTTCTCTTGGGAAATGTAGGTAGTAACAATCTTCCTTCAAAGGCATTGGGCTCTTTGTGCTGTCACTCAGTCACCTCCATAAATTAAAATCCTGTGGGTCTAAATGAGACAACTTGGAACCCCCTCTTCCTTATCCTAGGCTTCTTCGAGGACTTGCTGATGCAGGCCTGGCTCATACGTGCTTGCTGAATTTAATAAACAAGTTTTACACTAATGGTTTTTGCTTCAGTGATGCAGGAGATAAATTATTCATCTTGCTTGATGCAATCAGTGCTCTACATGGAATTTGAAAATAGGTTCAATAAACCACTTGTGGAAATGCTCATTGGCCTACAAATTCTGCATCGACTTAATTTACTAGAAGTACTCATGTCCTAACTTGGTCACTGAATCTTTCCTGCTCACCCAGGACCCAGAAATACACATCCCATCCCCCACCTCCACACCAATTCATGTAGTTAGCAAATCGGCTTGTATATACTGTCAATAACTAAATCTGCCTTAGCCAACTTAAAAACTAAAACTCAGAATGAGAAGAAGTTGTGCTTATTCCATTTAGGCTAGTTGCATGATTTATTTTAGGCACTGAGCAAATGTTAGTTTATGAATGTTTTTGCTTATTACAAAATGTCAGGAATTTCCTGGAGCTGGTTTTAACACAAACAGTTTAATTGTACTCTTGGGCAAAGATATGGAAAACAGAAAACCTGGTAAACTGAAGATATACATTTAGTAGTTAATTCCATAACTGATAGTGTTGTCTTTGGCCAGTTTGACCCAGCAGTCCCCAAAATGAGGCTTGGCCATATTCCTGCATTTTTAGGGACACGAGGTGTGAAGATATGAATGGGTTGGAAAGGAGAAAAACTGAGATAAATATTAGATCCAGAACAAATTTAAGCTTCTCATAATAAAAATGGAAAACATGCTGAAATTATGGACAAATAAGTTTTACTAATGCAGGTGAGCAATAAAACAACAAATGTAGTGACTGCCTTAGTCAACAGGAGAGGCTGTTTATGGTTGGTCTCCAATAATTCCCCAAGGCTGACTGAATTAAGAACTCAAATTCTAAGCCAGAGAAGTTGAAAAACATTTTAAAGAAGAAAACTCTAAAATGGCTGTTTGGGAATACTGACATTCTCTTTTTTATAGAAGAATTATTGAAAAATCATTTTATACGTATTATTCAATTTAGCCAAAGTGTGCTAGAAAATCAGAAGAATTAAAACACTCTGGTTTTATAATACTTTTGGATCTTTAACTTTAACGAGCTGTTAAGGAACTGTTGCTTCACAGCCAAGCAGAAGACGGGGAATCGTTTATGCAGAGTCGGGACAAAAAATGTTAGTTATAAATGCTCTTGTGAATAGTAAGTTCTGTGAACTCACATATGTCTGGAGGCTTTTGGCTGCAAGTAATAGAATACTTAACTAAAAGTGGCTTCAACAATGAGGGCATTTAATTCTTGCACAAAACAAGAGTCTGGAGGGAGGCTGTTCCAGCATTGGCTAACAACAGTTAGGGATGCTTCTTTGCCTGTCTCTTGGCTTTCCTTTTCCATAACTCCATTAACACAGTTATTAAATCTATTCTCAAATAAAAAAAGGAATGATGTCCATAGAGCCTGGAATCTCCCTCATCTTCATGGCAGGAGGAGAATGACAGTGGCCATCTCTTCTTGTCTCTCTCTTTTTAACCAGGGAAGAATTATCCCCCCAAAGCTCTGCCAAGCCCCTTCCCGAGACCTCTTCATATTTCACAGGTCAGAGCTGGGTCACCTTGCTATCCCTACCCCTGGCAGACGAGAGATTACGTGATGAGTTTAAACCAATGATGCTTCATTTCCTGGAGCTGGGCACTCTCACTCTCTATGGACAAAATTGAGATTTGGTTAGCAAGGAAAAGGGGGTGAGCTGGGTATATGAGAAAGTTATGGGTAAACAATCAGTGTTTGTGATATTTGGAGGCATCAGCAAGCGAAAGGGAGGACCTTGGTCCCAATGCCTGAGCTGGCCATTGCTACTCAAAGGATGCATAAAAAAGGAAATAGGTCTTTCATTTGTTATATCGTTTAAATCGGATAAAGACCTCAAACCAGATATTGTATGTGGCTTTGTAGGAGTTAAACCACAAGACAGGCTCCTTCTCAGGAAATAAAACTTGGCCAAATCTAAATTTATTTTCAAGTAAAAAAGGAATGGTGTCTCGAGGTCCCTGGAATTCACTCCAAAATGACACAAATACAATAAGCCAATGGCTGAAATCATTTACACACAAAATTTGACCAAAGCAAATAAGCTTGCTCTCATGCTGTGATCAGAAGAGCAGCAAACTAGGAGGCTTTGTTCAAAGCAAAAAGAGTGCTGAACGACAAGTGTCCTCAGAGCGGGCAGAGAGGGAGCAGTAAACAGGGTTAGTAAATCCACTCAGGCAAGAGCCTCGAAAGTTCAAGATGTGCTTGCTCTCTTGTCTACACTTTCGTGGGATTTCAAAGGATTGAAATGAAAGGCTGTGAACAGAACATGACACCCTGCCCCCTATCCCCTCCCCCCATTTATAGCATCGATAGCAGTAGCCATGCCTGCTATTCTCTACTGAGACTTAAACATTTTCGTGGGGTAGTTGCTCTAAACAGAAACCGCTCAGACTTGGTAGGCCTCCTGAGAGCAAGAATTGAGAAATCTTACCACAATCATAGAAAAATAAAAGGCAGAGCTTATGAGAGGTGACCGTAAACGCTGGTGTCTCCCAGTCCCTGTAACAAGGAAAAGAGCAGGCGCATGAGGCTCATTCCCCCAGATGACACTCGCTGGGCAGCGCCCTGTCTGTGTGGATGAAATGCTGGAATCCTTCGGAAGCCGCTGATGGTTGACTCGAAACTTGAGGGCTCCTCCACCTCCCACAATCCAGTCACTAAAGGGTTAACGTATAGAGCTTCCAGGATTCTGTGCTAGCCATGGAACACTGGCTAAAAAACAAAAAACGAAGGGCAAGTCAAAGAGGGCTGTGTGAAAGCTTCTACTTTCCCTTCAAACCTATTCTCTCCACACCTCTCTGCTGATGGTTTTGACTCAAACTTCACCATGAAAACAACCTACACATCTACCCATGTCTTCCCTGTCTTCTATTCCAGTG